GAATGGGCAGGGGACGCGTGGGACGGGCAGGCGAATGGGCAGGGGACGCGTGGGACGGGCAGGGGAATGGGCAGGGGACGGGGGGGACGGGCAGGGGACGTGGGGGACGGGCAGGGGAATGGGCAGGGGAAAAGGAAGGGGACGCATGGGACGGGCGGGCCAATGGGCAAGAGACGCGTGGCATGGCCGGGCCAATTGGCAAGAGACGCGTGGGACGGGCGGGCCAATGGGCAAGAGACGCGTGGGACGGGCAGGGGAATGGGCAGGGGACTCGTGGGATGGGCAGGCGAAAGAGCAAGGGACACGTGGGACGGGCNGCAAGGGACACGTGGGACGGGCAGGGGACACGTGGGACGGGCGTTGGACGGGCAAGGGACACGTGGGACGGGCAGGCGAATGGACAGGGGACGCGGGGGACGGGTAGGGAAAAGGGGAGAATGAAGGTCAAGGTAGCTTCAAAGCAGGGCTCCCCAATTGGGAAACTTTGTTTTAAAGTAAGCAGGGAAGCCCCCCCACCCCAAATGCTGTCCGATGGCCATGGGGGGAGGAATTTTTTTTATGACCATGTAAAATCTGGCACCATACTGGACTTCCTACATCAGTCAAAGGCTGATCTGAACAGCCCCTATAGACTATCAGCACCAGAATTACACCCCCCCCCAGTTCCATTGGAGGCCCTGGTGAATCCAACAGGATGGATTAATGACACTTTATTGAGCCCCGTGGGGAAATTCTCTTTTTTCCTACCCAATCTTGCTCTCCATGACACACCGACACACATACAGGCAGAGTGAGCTTGGGGGTGACAGGCAGAGGCAGCCAGCGGGCAGCATCCCCGGAGCTCGGGGGTCCAACGGCGGCATCAATCTGCCGACCCGGGAGTCAAACCAGTGACCTTCCGATCATCGGCACAAGTGCTAACTCACTGAGCGTCACACCCCATGGGTGAGCGGGAAGGGGATGGAGGGACCGCTGGTACCGCCAACGAGACGTCTCCGGAGCTCTCAGCCCGACATGAAATCAGAGGGGGCTGAAGAGCACGGAGAGGGGAACCGAGATGAATTAGTGAAACGTGTGAGTTTCTCAGGGGCATCAAACTGCACCGCATGAGCCAACAGGCTTGGGGTAAAGGAGAAGGTGCTCGGACAGGCAGGCCACACAGACATTTCTGTGGATGTCCTAGAGTGATAGTCTTTTAGATTAAAAATTAACAGAAATATCCATGTCACACATGTTACTGCACTCTGAACAGCACCTGGACACACAAATAAGCAGGGGAATAAGAGGGACACGAATACCCTGCCAGATTCAGGGGCCCGGCAATTTACAGGGGCCCTATATACATAAAATTATATGTAAAATTGGGTGGGAGGGGGCCAAGGTGACATTTTGTCAGAGGTCCCAGAGTTTCTAGGTACACAGGAGTAACCTGAAGGTTTCTGACCCTGGTGTATGAATCTGGGTTCCAGTAAACAGGTAATTAATGAATAACATTACATTTCTTAGTCTACTAATATCAACAAGGCAGTTAACCTTCACGAATTAAATGAAGAATTTATGGAACTACCAGTTTCCACCCGTCACAGTGCTTAAAAGTAGATGACTCTTAATCTCAGTGAAATGCCACTTGCCAGACAGTACCTGTGTCTAAACGGGCTTCTGTGGGTCCGGGAGGTCGTGGGGGTCACCCAGGCTGATGCGGGCAGGAGGCTGAGACCAGATGCGGCAGACACTTCCAGATGCGCCGCTGCCAGCCGCGGATCTAGTTCGGATGGTAATCGGATTACTCGTCTTGTCCCGGTCCGACTGCCCACACAGCAGCAGCGCAGACAATTAACCTGTCAGTCCTGGCTTGCCATCCGGACCTCCTGATCCCACAACGCACCGGACAAAGTCCGAACTACAAACTGGGACCCCCGAAAGCGCCGCTGAATCACTGCCTGCGACTGTCACGGCGATCCCGATAGGCAGCGCGACCGGCGTCCGTCCCGGTCCGAGAGCCGCACCGAGCCGATCCGATCCGATCCGCGCCGGGACGGGTGAAGCTAAAACAAGCACAGGCAAGTTGCAGGGGTAGCAGCGCAGCTGGCACCCCCCGCCCGGCGGCACGGCGGTGACAGCGGGGCAGGGCGTCCTGCGGACGCGCACCAGGGACTCGCCAGTCCAAATATGGACCCAAACATGGAACCAGACGTGCGGCACGCGCCTGCGGCGCTGCGCGTCCGCCTCCAAAGCCCACAGATCCGTGCTCACCTTCTGCGTCTCTCGCTCTCTCCCCCCGATCTTTTTGCCTTTTTTTGTTCAAAGCAGGGCGCCCAGCGCCGTGCCCGTAGGCCAGCCTTGCGCACTCTCCGCCCTGCCTTTCCACTCGTCCCTCCGTATCTGCGCTTCTTCTCGGCGTCTCGCGGAGCTCCGTGCCCGGGGATGTGCTTGTTTTATCGCGATCCCGCAGCGTGTCGAGGCGCGGACCACAGATCGCTCCCGACCAGCCTTCTTCCTCTTACTCCATTTCCAGCCGCCTGCTCCTGCCCTCCCCCCTCCTCTCCCCGGCTCCTCCTCTCAATGCTTTTCCGCCTCAAACCCTCCTCCCCGAGGGTGTCACACTGTGACGGCGCCGTCGTCGGCGGCGGCCGGTGTCGGGGCTCCCCCCAGCGGCGAGTCTGTCGCACTGCGCATGACGCGGATACATCCGCGCCGCAGCTCTCGCGCACATGCACGCCCCACACCTACGGCGCTTCATTGACTGGACCATCGACGGTCCCGCCCTCTCTCTCTCTCTCTCTCTCTCTCTCTAGATGAGCTTGTTGTTTCTATTTTCTCCGGCAGTCTGGCTTGCGTTTTGCGGTTTCTGTACCGCATTTTGTGTAAAATAAAGACTGAAACTATTTAAGTACAGAGCGTCGGACCTAAATACTAACGTAACAAATCCAGAAGTCCGGAAATACACCTTTCAATTGCAACAAAACAATTAAAAATTAATATGCAAAAAATAACTCCAGCTGAACAATGCAATTTGAATTGATCAGTTTCACGCAAAACACCATAGATTGTGCAATGGCTGAGGAAGGGTATGAAGCCGTACCTGTGCGTTCGCAACCCAATTGTGTTCAGTATTGTGGGAAAACGTTTTGCTAATTTAAATAAAAATACTGTTTTCGTGGGACGCCTGAGCGGCAGGATTCATAGTGAGTTGAATTCAAGACGTCTAAAAGCCACAACGACGGAATCCAATTTATTTCATAATAACGGTGTGATTATAATTAATTGTAATTATAGATTACATTTATTGGTTTGCATATAACCATACTGGCGAAGGGGGAAACACATTTGTGTACGACTGCACCCAGCTGTTATTGTTAGACAACAATAATTCACTCATTAGTTTTAAAAGTGCCTTAGAAAGTACATGTCAATCGTAGACACCCCAAATGGGTCGCGCCTTATAAGAAATCCCACCCGGAAATGCCACGGATGTGGACGCTGCCAAGTCTGGATGTCTGACTGGGGCTAGCGGGAATGATGGCTGTTCGTCAGGCACAGAGATCATATTAAAATCGACTGGTGGGACCTCTATTTGAATAATGCGTTTAATATTGCAAACGCCCTTCTGATCATATATGTCTGCTGCTAAATGTAAGCACTGTTTGCCGAACCAAAGTGTGGCTCAGTAAATTAAGATACGTCCCTGATAGAGCGCTTTGCTGTAAACGCGACTCAAAATGCACCATATTGTAGAATGAGAATGCACTTGTGGAAATATTCAACACATCGAGCCATGAAATGGTGGCAAACACTTGCAAGGGAACTTTGTGTGTGCAGCAGAGTTCATTTACGCTGTTTCATTGCGTTTGTTAGATGCCTGCGCTCTCCTCTGACTGGTTGTTACTCTCTTCTGTTGCTATGGTTCCAGCTCGCGGATGAGAGGGTGAGAGGTCATGACTGCTCTCCCATTGGTTGGGTCGTTATGTGGGCGGGAATACAAGGCAGACAAGAGGATATATAGGAGAGGGGGGCAGAAAAGGCATTAGGATGTCAGACATTGAAGAAAGGAGGGTTAGCTTTGAGTAAGTATTCCGTGCAACCGGAAAAGGTTTATGTGGACGCTGAGCCATAAGCCAGATTTGGAGCACTGAAGCATTTCCCAGCATGGAAACTGGCAGGTTGAATAAATTGATTGAGAAATGGCGAGATGCCAACGCGCGGCTATAAAATAACCAGTCATGTAATAGCACCAGACACAAACGGGAAGGGCTGAATGCGAAAGTGCGATAAGTATATAATCACACAGTCTGTAAGGCTATCACGTCTAAGCAGAGACAAAGACCAGTCTGAACGGGGCGAGGCAAGCTGCATGACTGCTGTTAGTGCGCGCTAGATAACCAGTCTGAGAAAAGGGTAAAAGAATGTTCACTACATGTTCGTGGGCACCTGTAAGAAATATCTGAAAACAATGTTTTACCTAAAAGTAAGTGAATGTATTTGTAGGTGGTGTTTGGATCTCAGGCAGTGTAGGGTGAGAGGTGATTATTTATTACTATATAGTAATACACTGTGCCGTGAAAGAAGGGTCGCATTAATGAAATTAAAAAAAGTCCTAGGCAGTGAACAAAATGGAACGGTTAGTTAAATCAGCAACACCCGAGTGTCTATGCTGCTGTCAGCCTGGGGCCCCAGATAAATTAATCCGCCTCTGCGTTAAACTGTCGTTATACGCCTTTGGAGCACAGCATTCTGAAGTCGGTCTTTCCTCAGTACAACAGTCCACATATATTTTCATTCAACGCTGTGACCATTAACTCCAAGACCATTTTTAAACTGCGGTGCTCTATGAAATAATGGTTGTGTTTATTTAACTTTTTACTCTGTGATTACTGTATATTTTCATAAAAAATCAAGTCCCTAAAATGTCACCAGGATTATTCAGGATACTGTGTTAGTAATTACACATTGATTATCTTAATTACTAAATCACACTCGGACATACTTATAACACAAAACCAAGGTGATTTTCTGCGAAGGAAATGTTAATGAATTCAATGTAAAATACTATAATTTACCATTAGGGGGCGCCATGCATACAGTCAAACATACCGCACTTATGTTGACATACGTATCTGTTACTGACTTATAAAGATATTAAGTATTGATTAAACTTATATCCACGTTAGGTAAAAGTAAAACCTGTATCAGAATGTTAAAGCATGACATGGCAATTTGAAATAGACAAAAATATTTTATTCCAAAACTTAAATTACAGGTCCTTGAAGGGATTTGCATAGGGTGGAACATTAAAAAGCTGAAAATGACACTCATTTAAAAAACCTCATTAAACCGCACATTGCTTCTGCTCTCAATGTGACGTTGTGTTGGAAAATACAGAGGGTATTATACATTGCAGGACTATACATATAAAAGTGGAGAAATGGGGAAAATCCCTTATAAAAACTTGTAATATCATTCATTCTGCATTCAGCGGTAACACAGCCTCACATACAGCACGGTCTCCACCACTGACACCAGGCTACCTCATAGATGAGGACTTGGTATCTCATCTGTCCGGATTTTTGTGTCATTATTTTTCTTGCCGTTCCGGCTCGGTGGTTCCAAACGAATGCCTGTCCTCTATCTTCAGTCACAATTTCAGTAATGCAATAACCGGTTACCCCAAACCCCCCACACAGGGCTGTTTCTGACTCGTCCAATCCCAGCTGCTTTCTGGAACCATGTGACCTGAGCTGAAAGCACTCACACGGTCCCTCCTTTCAGTGCTCCAGCCTCACATGCTTCCTCTTCCAGGTGTGGCATCTCCCTGGGAGTTTTTCCAAAATCACTTTTCCAGCTATTTCCCAGCATTTCCAACATAAAGAGCGATGGACACAGGAGGTGCAGCAAAGGGTTAGTGGCTGGGTCTGTGGGTGGACCATCCCAGGCCTGGTCCAGTTTGATGACCTCTTTTGTTCTTTGGGGGGGGGGTGTTCCTTAAGTCAGGTTGGCACTGATCCGGATCCACTGCAACGCCTGGCGTGTATACTGCACGATGTGTTGGACACTGCTGTGCAAGGTGAGGGGCCCCCTCAGTGTGTTCAGGTAGCTGAAGAACTCTGCGGGGACATGTGACAGACTTGGGTGTGAGATGCTGTGAGGGGACACTGGCCAGGTCCCCAGCAGAGCTGGACATTTCAGGTCCAGAAAGTAAAAATCCAAGCCAGGATTTTGTTTCAACCAACTAGTTGAATACAAAGAGTCACAATCACAGAGTACTCATCTGGCTGGTTGAAACAAAATCCTGGTCTGGATTTTTACTTTCAGGAACTGAAATGTCTACCTCTGGTTCCCTGAGGCTGCAAGATCTTGGCATCTCCTGCTTAGCAATGGGCAGCACAAGCCCTCTAAACCATCAGTGGGTGGGATGACCAGGAACTGTCAATCAAAAAACGTTTTAACCCCCCCCCCCCTCCAAGTGTTCAGAGATCCTGCTAGGGCTGTTTCAGGAGGGTTGTACACATGTATACTCTGGTTGATTCAGGGGGCCCAGCAGCAGCCCCCCCCGCCAGCTCAGCAAAAATGTACCATGTTTTCTTTAGATTGAAAGTTTGAAAGTGTCAGCCCGCTTAACTGGGGGCCTAAGGTGACAGTCTGCTTACTGGGGGCCCAAGGTGACAGTCTGCTTACTGGGGGCCTAAGGTGACAGTCTGCTTACTGGGGGCCTAAGGTGACAGTCTGCTTACTGGGGGCCTAAGGTGACAGTCTGCTTACTGGGGGCCTAAGGTGACAGTCTGCTTACTGGTTACTGGACTGTTACCCACTGGTCTGAAACAGGGAATAAATTTGAAGCCTAATTTCTCTCACTGTTTAAGAAGGCAAGTATTTAAATTAGCTCAGTAATTAAATCGATGTAAATGTGCACAGCTTCACCTGGCTTTGCAGATGTGAGCACATTACTGATCGTGTAATTTTCCAGTCATTAGGCATTAGCTAATCTTAACTCGAAACAAGAACAGACTGTAACCCTTCATTCAGACATGCCTGTAGATAAACAGAACTGTTAATATAAAACTTTTCCCAGTCGGAGGTCACAATCAGTGCAGTCATGTTTTTATTGTCTGCTGCCTTACCTTTGTTCTCCTTGGCCAGGTTGTCGGCCAGCTCCCAGTACTCGTAGCTGTACAGCACGCTGTTGGTGATGTTGAGGTGGTTTGCTGCCATCTGGTGGATGCGCTGGGGAATGCTGATGAAGGATGAGGGGGAGGTGGCGGCCAAGCCGGCCTGGGGGTTGAGCGGCGCTCCCGAACTCCTGCAAGTCAGAGGAACCAAGAGTCATGTCAGCTTCCCTGATTATATCCACTGAAGGGGTGACGCCCTGGAGGAAGACTCTGGTACTTACTTTCCACAGGAGGTCCATGATTCTGGATCATGAGAAGGTTTGGGGGAGCTCTGTAAAGAGAGAGGGGCCTTCAGCATACCAAAGGTACATGTTTGATCCCATCGCTCTCCGTGGTTCTCGTTCTCCGCCAACCCCCAACCTCCCCCGACTCTGCGGCGGTACCTTAAAGTAGTCCAGCAGGACTTTGGAGTATTTGAGAGCGTGGTCTTTCTTCAACCTGAACATCCGCCAGTACAGAAGAGCAAGGCAGCGGAAACTGCAGGCCCAAGCACAAGTAACGGACATCAGGTTACCAGGCTCCGACCTACCCGGTCGGAGAATTGAACTCACCCAGCTTTAGCAGAAGAGAGAGGAGCGAGAAGACGGAGGACCTGACAGACGCAGGAAGGGGGTTGAGCTCACCACAGCACTGCCAGCTGCTTATCCTCCTGTCGGGCCCCCGGACCAGAATGTCCCTTCAGCCTCATGGCGTATCTGGGAGAGGTACCGTTACGTTGTGAGTGTGTGATTCTATCTGACAGGTGTAAAGGCACATTTTCTGTGTGGGACTGTCATCACAGCAGATAGACCGGCAGCTCCTCCGTGCAGATCTCTGTGATGGTATCGTATGTTAGCAATATCATAACCCCCCCCCCCTTGCCTGATGAGCTCCACGGTTTCTGAGTACATGGTGTATGGGGATTTGGCCTCCAGGGGGCCCTCCTCCATGGCCTTGCCACACTCCATGAAGGACAGCGCCGCATCCACGTAGTTCACTGCCTTGCCAAACTTGTCCACCTGGTGGCAGTGGGGAGTGCACATGTAATAATGGTTAAATATGGGTGCTGTGTACTATGGCTGTGCGAAATGCAGAAACTGAAAGTTGGGTGAATTTGTTTAAAATGAAATGAAGGCGACAGGAGGCACCCAAACTCTCTGCATGCAAAGAGTTGGTCCTGTCACGCATCTTTGGTGGGTTTTGCATATGTGTGTAAACAGTAATCTAGATGCATGCATGGACTTTCCTCCGCCCTCACCATGGCGTCGGCACGATGCTTGATCCTCTTGGCTTCATGCATGTAGTACTCAGCATGGTGCAGCCTGGTGAGAGTGACAGAGTCACGCAGAGTGATAAACCCATTCCAGCTGGATCCGGTTCGTCTTAGCTACCAAACATTACATGGCAGGTGCTCGGATACTGTGACGCTAGAAGTAAGAATCTGAACAGCTCGAATCGGTGCTTAGAAGGATCTACTCTGCTGAATGCTGTTAGGACCAAATTAAAATGACATTTTTTTGATTTGATAAAGTAACGTGTGGTGATGTCTTCAGTGCAGGCTTCAGTACCGGCACTTACGTGTCATGGTGGATTATAGCACCATCTGGTGGCAGGGCTTGGTTTGGGGAGACTCCCCAGATTTCATATACTGGCTTGGGACCACTGGGAAGACGTGGTGACTCCACCTTCACCTGAGGGTGTGTCCTGGGCACCTGGTGACAAACCCATGACCCATTGGATGACCTCATCTGGGACAAGCACTTGTACCCTTAGGCTTAAATTTCTTTTCTAGCAAGCTCCAACCAAAAATACAAGTATAATTAAGGCCCTTCAGAGATGACATTGGACGGTCCAGGTGAAACTGAGGGTCAGACCATGAACATACTCCTGGCGTGTAGCTCTCAACATGGCCAAGGTGACCTGGGGGTACATGCTATGTCGCGTACACTAGGTTGGCGAGCAGGTGGCCCGTCGAAAAAGCCGCCGCCGCTTGACCGCTGACCTGTTCCAGTTTGGATACACATCGGTGCGCTGATCCTCACCTGAAGCTGCGTGCTCTGTGCCCTCGCGTTTCCTCCCTTGTCGGCCTTCTCTTGGTAATGCTGCTCAGTGCCACCCTCCCTCTTCCGCTGGCCTGCCTGCTTGCCCGGCTCGCCCCTCTTGCGGGGGTCCGAGGCGTCCGCCATAGGGGACGCCGCCTTGCGCTCCTCATACCGGAGAGCTCCTTCGTGCCTGGCGGCGAGGGGTGGAGGAGCAGGACATGAGAATCTGCTTCTGATTATCAACGTGGGAGTCAGTGCGTGTCCAGGCCAATATAATCCATAAAAATGTACCAGCAAAATAAAAAGTAGGTGACACTCTAACAGTTAATATCTACTCTCAGGGGCTGGTTTACACTTGCTTGTTAACGCAAGCAGCTTTCTCCTCCAAACAGTGAACCACGTGGCTGCAACTCAATACATACAGTTACAGACAGGGCGATGAGGTCTGTTTACTGTTTCGGCTGAGCATTAGAATGGCTAAGACGTGATCTAAGCACTTCTGAATGTGGTGTAACTGTTGGTGCCAGACAGCGGCCTGGAATCTCAGTAACGGCCACTTTCCTGGGATTTTTCACACATGGTGTCTAGAGTTTACAGAGATTGGTGCGATAAACAAAAAACATCTAGTGAGAGGAGAATGAAACTCATTAAAGCTATCGGAAGGCTGTCGAAATAACAGCTCAGAGGCACAGTTGTGTGGGGAGAGGCTTCTTTGAACGCAGAACTCTCAAAGTGCTTCTGAAAGCAAAACTGGGTCCTACCTAGTACTAGCTAGGTCAAGGGTGGGGAACCTGATCTATGGAGGCCCGGTATGGGTGTGGCTTTTTGGGGTGGCCTCTCAATCAGCCAATGACAGTGGATGCCCAGGACTGGAGTTAAGAAACACTGCATTATTATTGGCTGATTCAGAAGTCATTCCAAAAAACCCACACTGGCTCTCCATGGATCAGATTCCCTACCCTGAGCTAGGTGTACCTAATAAGAGTGTAAGAGTTGGTCCAGGTTCAGTGTATTCAGTCTGTGTGTTTGTTCAATCTTACCCATTGATGGACTCCTTGGTGGACATTCCTTTGGTTGACCTGGGATCAGTATGCACATGGTTCTTTTTACTGTCCTGGTGAGGATTCTCTGACTGTTAGAAGCAGACAGTTCACAACCAATGGGGGGTTAGCACAAGGTAAAGCTCTTGGAAGCTCAGTTACGTGTCAGTTGCATGTTTTTCACTAGTTCATGAAGTTTACCCTCATAATGGGTGGTTATCTCATATTTGGTGTGATCTTACCTTTCGTTTCTTCTTGTGGTCCTGGGGGTCATTTTCAGGGCGATGAAGATGCCTCATGGCGCTATTGTTGTGGGCCTTTCGTGATGAGGAGGACGATGAGGAAGATGAGGAGCGACCTCGAGGGAGGCAGGAGGTCTGGGGCACTCTGAGTAGGAGAGTCAGGTCTATCCGCACCAGGAGTGAGCGGGGTCCGCCTGGTGGATCGCCAAGGCCGAATGGCACCAAGGTGTAGCAGTTCCGGCCTGAGTCACCTGCCTGGGTACCGGCTGGTAGCTGGCTGGGTTTGACTACCGCTGGCTGGACCTCCACAGCCCTCCCAGTCCTACCCTGTGGCCTCCTCGGAACCTGTCGCTTACAGGAGGTTGAGTCTGCTGGGACCTTAGTGACCGGGGGTGGGGAGAGGGGCTCAGAGTCTGAATCTGAGGGTGCTGAACATGAGGAGGAGGAAGAAGAGTCTGTTGGCGGGATAACAGGAATAGGGGAGGGGGACGGTGAGCGGGTGGGTCTGAAGTCTGGCTGCAGCTCCTCTTCCTTTCTCCTCTTTTTCCTCCTATGCTGTCCAGGGCTTCCTGGCAATCTCTCCTCCTGCTGCCTCTGGCTGTTCGTGTGGGGCCTCTGTCTTGGCTGCACGGCCTGGGGTTCTCCTCCCTGTGGCCTTCGTCTCCGCCGCTCCTTCTCTAGCCCCGTCCCTTCCTTCGTCCTCTCCTCTTCTTCAGAGTCCTGGGCCCAGCAGCGCCTCAGGGTCCCTGCCTCTCCCTCCGTCCGCCTCCTGTCCAGCCGCCTCTCAGAGGGCAGCACCCTGGCCCGCCCATCCACCTCATGCCCCCTCCGCTGTGATGAGGCACTGTCTCGCCGGGCCCCCTCCCCGGGAGCGGCAGAGGGCCGGTGTTTGACTCTTGTCGTGGGGCTGGGGCTACCTGCGGGCTTGGAGCTAGGCCGAGAGCGATGCCTGGGGCTGGAGTTTGGGCAAGGGCTGCGTCTGCGTGGGGGCTCTGGGTCAGCAGTAGGAGCGTCCCACGGCTTGACACGGGATTTGCTTTTGGGGATGCACGGGGGTCTTGGCTGAGGTGGGGGTGTGGGGCTGCGAACGGAAGCAGGACTCCTGCACGAGTAGGGGCTGAGCGGAGGGTCACTGGGAGGACTGGGACTCCTGGGACTGGGTGAAGGACTGCTGCTGGGACTGATGATCAGCTGGGGACTTGGCTGGCTGCTGTAGTACAGACCGGGACTGGGAATGGGGGTCTGCTCCCCCCGTAGCCCTGGGCTGGGCTCTCTCCCCCAGGACCCTACGGGAGTCCGGCCACTGTCGGAGTCTGAACCCGAATGGGCTTCCCCCTCCCTGTCGTTCAACACCTGTCCCCTGTCGCCAGATCCTGCCCTCTTCAGCCACTTGTCCAGCTGCCACTTGTTGGACGACAGCTACAAAAAGGAAAAAACACAAGACTGGAGGAGTGTTGGAGCTCAGGGTGCCCCCTCCCTGTATGTAGCACCCTCTAACCCTAATGCTCTCCATTCATGGTCCTGCCTCCTGTGTACCGTCAGACTCGCAGCAGTGCTCCCTTAGTAACCCCCACTCTGATGGGGGTGCCTCCCCTTTTAATGAATTAGTTGTAAATGTGAAACATGTAACGGCAGCTGCGGCTGCTGCTTTGGAGCGACAGGACCACCGGTGTGGGGGGGGAGGTCCAGGGTGGCGGGATTCCACAGCATGGCTCTTATCCAGAGCGGGTCTTAAAGGAACATGCAGACAATTCCCGCTCGTAGACCTTAGTGCCTTCTGGTTTTTCGTCAGCCCCCCCCCCGTTTTGTCCCACATGCCGGTGTTATTTGAAGAGCTAATTACCACCTCCCGGGAGCTATTTCCGGGTCCCCGTGTTAATGTCATCAGCATCAGGCAGCAGCACGCCTGGCCAGGAGACCCTGTCTCCTATTTTGGGTCTCTGTCACGTTCATCCTTCTAATGAATAAGGAATCTCTTCACGCTTAAGGCTCAACAACACTACAGCAACAGTGCTACAACAACAACACTATAAGAACAACACCAGAGGAACAACACTACAGCAACAACACCACAGCAACAACCCCACAACAACAGTGCTACGGCAGAAATGCTACAGCCATGGTGCCCACCCCCTGTTGCCCGCCACATTCTGCCTGAAGATCCTGCCTCCTACCAGATGGGGGTTTCAGCCGCCGCTGGAGGGGAGCGTGAGATCACCTCCGGGCTGCATGTCGGAAAGCGGGCGGCCATGAAGGAGTTTATACTCACCTCTTTAGCTCTACTGTCCTCCCTAGCCGTCCGGCGTCAGTTTAAGCCTGCTCTCTGCTCTGGCACCCCCCCCATTCCTCTTTCCCATAAGGACACTGCATCCCTTGTAATCCAGCCTCCCCCCCCCCCAGAGTGCCGGCCCCCTTCGACCTGGACGGAGACGCTGACTGCTTCACGCATATGAAAACCACATGGCGCCCCCTTCTCCTTCCCGCAGAATCACTGCTCTGTCAGAGGAAGCTCTGTTTATCCCGTCTGGGCTCCCCTGCTATGCACGCAAAACCCCAGCCGCCCATTCTGTTACTGTTAACTAGGCTGCCCAGCATAGCAGGACGGCAGGGCGGTGTAGTCAGTGGTCTGGGCTTGGTGGGGGGAGTCAGGGCTATCACCTGTGCAGGAAAATGACACCCAAAACTCCCCTCCCCCGTCAGACTTGTATTCCTGCTCTCCCTTCCCTCCCCCACAGGCAACTTCCTGCTATAAATCAGAGTTCCTCCCGCCACACATGTGAATGCTTCATAGGGCTCTCCAGTGTGTGCGTGTGTGTGTGTGCGTGGGCAGACGGGAGCACCGTGATGTCCGCGTACCTCCTCCACGCTCCCGCTCAGGCCTGCATCCTCGGGGGGCGTCCCCGGCTTGGAGTGCCTTTCCGGGCTGGGGGTGTGCGACCGCAGGCTGCTGCTGTCTGAGTCGCTGGACGAGCTGGAACTGGACGAGCCGGAGCTGGAGTGTCTCAGCCTCTTGCCGGACAAGCAGCGCTGCGCGTGGGCCTGCTGGGAATGCTGGGAGTTCTGGTGCCGGGGACGTCTGTGAGTCAGAGCCAGGATAGAGGGTGTCTCAGCCACCCCACATAACACACACACACACCCAGTGCTACCCTCACACTGTCTAACACACACACACACACACACACCCAGTGCTACCCTCACACTGTCTAACACACACACACACACACACCCAGTGCTACCCTCACACTAACACACACACACACACACACCCAGTGCTACCCTCACACTGTCTAACACACACACACACACACACACACCCAGTGCTAGTCTCACACTGTCTAACACACACACATAGAAGCACCCAGTGTGATTATTAATATGCTGATTGGTGACACTGCCTTACAGACGCGATGCTTCCCAGGAAAGACACCCCTAGCATCCAGCTGACACATTCCTCACATCCTCACACACACACACACACACACACACACAGTGCAGTTGAGGATGCAGTCTGGCCATAAGCAGACTCATATGGCGGAGAGGAGGCCCGAGAGGCTCTACCCTTTCTTACATAGAGATGAACTGCTAATCTTATCGATTAGGATTACCTGCCATGTGTGAGCCCAGAGGTAGACTGCTGTAATGAGAGAGAGAGAGAGAGAGAGAGAGAGAGAGCATATCGTCATTGAACCAGGGTCCTGCTTGTCGCTGCCCCCAACTTCACAGTCCAGTTTTATTATGGGATGTTTCGCAGTGAAACACCACGGAGCAGTTTCAGAAGTTGGAATAATGCTAAGATGCTAAGCTAAGGGTAGTGTGTGTGTGTGTGTGTGTGTGTGTGTGTGTGTGTGTGAGTGACGCAGAGCCTCCCAAGTGGCATGGTCTCCGAAAGCCAGTGTCCCAGAGGAAGTGGTGAGCGATGTTGGGGGGGGGG